TGATGTTTAAAGTGTTTCAAGACTAGTATATAACTTATCTACATTATGTATTTTATCATAATTTTTATCTAATTTGTGTTAGAATAATAATTTATTTTTTATTCGTAATAATATCTTTTATATCATACTATGAAACAACGTGACGAATGTGTTACCTTTCTTTAATGTTACAATAATTATTATTCTTTTTACATTGTAATATTTATAACTTTTCTATGGTTTAATACTAGAGATTTACTAGAATTTCAAAAATATAGAATGTTAGTTATTATATTAATGTAGTGGTTTCTAAAGTGGGTGATTAAGTGGTCCAGGGGGTCGATGACAAGACCCTAGTATCACAAAATATTGAAAATTATTGAAAATTATTGGAAAATATTGAAAAATATTGTGTGCTACTAGGGGATGATATCATCACAGGTAAAAACTAGAATTTTAAGTGTGCGAAAATGTGCAGGTGTGAAATTAAAAAAAGGTCATGAGTGCAATGAGTGAAATAAATAATTTGTCTCATTTCTCAGTTACTAAATAAAAAAAAAAAAAAAAGAAAAGGTAAAAGGTTACAAAATTAAGAAATTAAGAAATTAATGTTCAAGGGGGCGATTAGAAATATTTTTTCAAGAAAGGGGGGTGATAGGACAGAAAAATTTAGGAACCATCGTATTAATGGAAATAAAAGAAATAGAAAAAAATGAGAATTTATTTTATGTAGTTTTAACTTTCCTCGAATAAAATAACTTATATAAAAAAAAAAAAAGAAAAAAAATCTACATTTGTAAAACGTGAAATGTCAAATAACTTCTATACTATATCTATCAATAGTAATTATCACTATTTTAATTGATAAATAATCACAAAGATTGTATTTTAGTTTATACTAAATTAATATTTACGATTGTTCTATAATTTAAGGGGGGTGATAGGACAACAAAATTTAGAAACCACCGTATTAATGGAAATAAAAGAAATAGAAAAAAATGAGAATTTATTTTATGTAGTTTTAACTTTCCTTAAATAAAATAACTTACATAAAAAAAAAAAAAGAAAAAAATCTACATTTGTAAAACGTGAAATGTCAAATAACTTCTATACTATATCTATCAATAGTAATTATCACTATTTTAATTGATAAGTAATCAAAGATTGTATTGTAGTTTATACTAAATTAATATTTACGATTTGTTCTATAATTAAAACTAGAGAAATATAATTTCAAAAATATAGAACCTAACAAATTATTATAATAAAGAAAATAAAAGAAACAAAAAAGAATGTGAATTTATTTTATGTAGTTTCAACTTTCCTCGAATAAAATAACTTACATAAAAAAAAGAAAAAAAAAAGAAAAAAAAAATCTAGATTTGTAAAACATGAAACTTATAATAGGTTCTATATCTCTTAATAGTAACGATCACTATTTTAATTGATAAATAATCACAAAGATTGTATTTTAGTTATATACTACGTAAATCTTCTTTCAACATAGTAGTTCTTATTTCATTCTTAGGCTTTTCTCTTCTCGCGATGGTTGTTTAAGTTAATCGTGGGTGGAATCGGAGGTCAATAGGTATGCTTGACTCGGTCCATGAGAATAAGAAAGATAGAAAACGAGAATAAAAGAAAAAATAGAAATAGAAAGAGAAAGAGAAAGAGTGAGAGAGAAAACGGTCACGTTCCTAGGCTAGGATAGAAAACCAGTATTATTTTCGATAGGATAGACGAGATTACCTATTGGAAACCGTAAGGCGTTAAAAAGTTAACTACGAATCCTAGGTGAATATAACATTTGGTGTCTTCCTTTTTTTTCTTTTTTTAATTGACGATAGTGTCTCGTCGTGCAATGGAGAAATACGATAAACTCGACGAAAGCAGGTCAAAGTGTCAGCAAATTCCATTCGATTTCAATATATACAACCCTTCCTCCTTCTCTTATATTTCTTTTATTATACGAAAAATACATAAGTTCTTTTATTTAATGTATTTAAGAATGAATTGAATTTTGAGCTTCTTAAAAAAAGGAATATAGTTTGAACTAAATAACAATTATTACTACGTTAGGTTCAATAATTGTCGATTGATCTTTAAGCAAAATAAATTTAACGTTATATCTGAAAATACACAAATGATTTTATATTTATATATATATACATATAATATTTTTAATTTATTTTTTTTTTTATAATATAATATATTATTTAATTTGTTTAATTCGTAATTAAATATAATAATTTATTTAATTTAATTTATATAATATATTAAATTCTATTATATTATATATATATTAAATTTTATAATATATAATTTATAATTTTTTAATTTTATAATATATAATTTATAATTTTTTAATTTTACAATATATAATTTATAATTTTCATATTTTATAATATATAATTTATAATTTTTAAATTTTATAATATATAATTTTTAATTGTTTAATTTTATAATATATAATATTAAATTATTATAAATATTATACATTATATTATCTAAATTATAATTTTACAATAAAATTTAATATTAAATTTTATATTAATGATTATATATATTTAAATACAAAAAAAAAACCATTGACAATAAATTACTAAAAATATTTGATCAAATCAATAAAAATATCTACACATAATTATTATCATTGATAATAATTCTAATACTTTCTAAGAAGACGAAACAAAAAGAAAAACCAATGGAAAAAAAAAGGTTTTTAAACAGGCAATTTTTAACAGCTGTTGTTTCCGTTTCAGGGTTAAGGGCTTCGAAATGGTGCATCTGGATTACGCGGGCTAGAAACTGCATTTAGAAAGGTCGTTAAGAACTCGTTAGAAGAGAACGCGTATAACGCGTACGTCGGAGTCGATATCACTTGAGGGGTGAGATGTTGCAGGCCTTCACCCTCGAAACTTTTCTTCTTTTTCTTTTTATTTTTATTTTTATTTTTCTTTTTCTTTTTCTTTTTCTCTTACATACGATGCTTCACGACGATTCCTATAAATACCATACTCTTCTATATTTTAGCCCAATTTGCTTCGGTTTCAACCCCCTTTGCTCTACCCCGCCGAGGGTCACTTACTTCTCAGTGTCCTCCAATTAGTAAATTAGTTGAAGCATAAAGCCGTTTCGCGTGTTTTATTGCAACGAATTCGCGAACTACTGCATACGTGTATGCCCGATTTAACCCCCTGTTTCCGACCAGTATTATCATCATATATATATACATATATATATATATATATATGTATTTCTGTTTCTCTCACTCACTCACACTTTAGAAAGTGGATTATATTTTTAGTTTATATTCCAAGATACCCCTTTTGTATTACTCGAGAACTCTCGTTTAATATCGCCTTTTGATTAAATCGAAAATTTATTAAACGAAACATACAAAATACCGGTTTAACACATTTGCGACCGGCATATTTTTTCTGATTCTTATACTAAATACCGGCAAAAATAATGAAATTTGGAAAAAACAATAATTTTTACATATATTCTATATATATAAAAAATATAAGTTTATATTATTTCAATTTATATTTAAATAATAAAATATAATAATATATATATATAATAAAATAGAATTATTTGAATATTAAATTTAAATATTATATTTAAATATTATATTTAATATTATATATATATATAAAAATAATATATAAAATATAATTATTTAATTGTAAGTTATTTTTAAAATAAAACGATTTAAAATAAGAGATAAATTCTTTCTAATGTTTTTTTCGTATATAGAACATACTGAAAGTTCTCTATCGATCGCGTGGTGAAGGTCATGTCCGCGACACGCTAACATTTGGGTCTCGACGATTATAAAGCACCAGATATATAACATATATTTTCTAGAAATATTAAAACGTATTCAAGTAAATTTATAATACCAAAATTTTAGACGACATATAAAATATTGTTATATACATATATATATATATTGAAAAAAAAAAACAAAATTTTATTTTAAGTGATAAAATAATGAAAATAAATTAACGCAAAAAATGATCATAAAAATGCCTAAAAAAAAAAAATAGTATAATAAACTAGGTGAAACAATTAATATATCTGTAAAATATTAATAAGAAAAAAAAAATAGGAATATATAGGAAAGACAATTTTGGAATATTAAACAATAGGAATTTCTTAACTAACAAATAATAATTCGTTAGTATAATGTCAGCGTTTATGAACCGGCGAGTGGGACGCGACACTCGAAAGATTTTAGGTTAGGTTAGGTTCGCCCACTTTGTCGTCGTCTGATCGGACGGAAGTAAAGTTACAGAAAATGGCATTGTATATGCGTGGGCGAGTACGATGTAAGAGAAAAAGAACGAAAGAACAAAAAATAAGGACACGAAAACAAAAACAAAAAAAACAAATAGACACGGAAGGAGAAATTTTGATTGCAAGGTGTTTACGCGCGATCTATAAAAGATATACACCGAGTATATGATTTATACAAGGGTTTTGTTTGTGGGTTGGTAGAGAGAAAGAGAGAGAGAGAGTTCTTTTAAGCTTTGACGAATAAAAGCAAATGTTATTTTTGATAAATAAATGAGAATTTGTATAGAATCGATAAATACATGATTAATGTGCGTGAGTTGCTTAAAAACATTGTTTAACCCACCTACATATTTCCAAAATACCATTACAAATTTCGTTATATTATTATTAGTTGTTTTTTTTTCTCTAGTAATACTTTGAAGTATTTCAAAGTTTTCTAAAAAAAAAAAGTTATTTTCATAATTTACAAATTATTCGAGAGGTTGAACAAATTTCTGAAATTTATTATTGATCAATCTAACAATATCTCAATGAATTAACACTAGTATACCTATTTCTACCACACTAGTCAAAATGACTGGTCTGATATATCTAATGTTAATAATTATTTTTTATCCGTAGAAATAAATAGAATACTCTTAAATTAATAATTGTAATGAAAACGTGAATATATTATCATAGTAATGAAAATGGAAAATGAGAGAAGAAATGCTCACCTTTTCGAAGGCTTCCAGCGCCGCTTAAGCACTCCCAACATGAGTAAAACCCTTCTTCTTTGATACGAAACTTAGGACACTGATGTGAGTGCAGGCGTTGAGACTTTTCCGATTGGTCTCTTGGTAAAAAAACAAAGTGTAATATACCCGCGTTAACCACAGTCACCAAGGATTCTTTCTCACCAATCTCACAAATGGGACCACACAAGCACCCGGAATACGTTCTTCTGTTTATCGACGACACTCAAGTTGCGTCATGTCTTTTAAGTCTTTAAGGGCTGTTTGCCCTTCTAATGTCCTTTCCCAGTCTCCTTTATCTTTTTTTTTTTTTTTTAATTCAAGAGGCTCTTACACACTATTCTATCCTTCTTAATTTCTACTAGTAATCAAATTTATATAAAAAATGTGTACGGGGAGAGGGTTGGATTGACAAACTTTAAATTTACATCAAGACATGTATTTTGGTTTGATTTTGTTTTCCATTTGGATGATCATAAGAAATATTGTTGTTTTTCTAAGCTCTTGGACTTTTCAATCCAACAACGTATATTATTATCTATCGCAAGTCGAAAGAACGCGAAACTTTATCGATCAAACTCAACGCTATACGACGAGGATGCGCCATAGGATGACGCAATAACATAAAAACAAAAAACAAAAAACATAAAAAACCTTTACTTTCCATTTATCCCATTTCATATTTTACTAATGTGTTCAACCCCTTTTCTTCTAATTAAACTCGAAATTAATGACTAAACTAACCAATAGTTAATCGAAACCAATCACCGAAAGCCTCAATCGACCATACGAACGATAAATCACCAAACCGGTCTAATTAAGACGATAACTAATTAACTACTCGCGCGTGTTTTAACTTAACCATTGAAAGGGACACATATATGTGTGTGTGTGTTAAATTACGTTTCTTTTTCGATCGACCAATGATACGAAAAGAGAGAAAAAAAAACTATTACTTTCATCCCCCTAATTCTGACCAATGAGAAGATATCGCGCGTTTTAATCGCGATTCACGATCCAATCAAATTAAGTCTTAGAATTGTATTCGAAGTTTCATTTAAAACGAGCAAGAATTATTCGATTGATTTTTATTTGTCAGTCATTTAATAAGAGACTAATTGTAATTGTAATCTTGATTTTTTTTATATGTATTTGTTAAAAAAAAAGATGAAAGAAAGAAAGAAAGAAAGAAAGAAAGAGAAGTAAAAGTTCACTGTCACATTACTGTAAACGATGTAACAAGTGCAACGTTCACGGAAACGCACTTATGACCGTTGTGGAACGCACCAATAAGAACGTCAACGTCGTCTAAGGAAAAAAGTCAACTTCTATCGAACGTTTCGAGGAATAAAAGGAGATGTTAAATAAAATTTTAAAAAAAGTATCTAATATATATATACCTATAATACATATACTCGATAATGCGGGTATCGTTCGGGATGCGATGCAGTCGCCGAATGCAACGACGAAGACGTTCGATGACGTTCGCCGATGCTGCCAGGCGCTTTTTGGTACGTGGCCAAAACGGAAGAAGCGGATGGTAGAGGGAGATGAAGAAAGAGGAAGAAGAAGAAGAAGAAGAAGAAGAAGTAGAAGAAGAAGAATAAGAGGAAGAGGAAGAAGAAGAAGAACACGAAGAACACGAAGAAAAGTGTTCGTGATATCTTTGAAAAAAAATACGACGGGAGTTCGTTGCCCGAACACACCAAGTCAAGAGAGAAAGAAAGGGAGAGAAAGAGAGAAAAAGAAAGAAAGAGAAAGATGCGACTCGACTCGAGAGAGAGAGGAAGAAAGAGAGAGAGAGAGAGAGAGAACGAAGAAAAATTGACGATTGAAGTTCGTTCGAAATACCAACCCGCTTTAAATGTCTTTATGTTTAAATGCACAATGTGCCGAATTAAAAAGCCGCAACTATTACCGTGAAATTTCTTGAACACTTTCAACCGGTTAAGATTATCGATAATAATATAACGTTGGTTATGTTTCGATCTCATGAAAGAAAAAGTATAGGCGCGCACGCGCGCACGACAAAAAGGAACCGGCCGCGCGCCGAACCCGAGCTAGACTAACGCGCGACAGAGATGGGAGACACGCGGTACCCCACTTCCCGGTCATCCCCACCACTAAAGGCGCGCGCGCATACAGCGCCTCGTCACGGCCATCAACCGACCGACTTCAGGTGCGTCTCGGGCTCGATTTTGTTTACCTTTTTTTCCCCCCCTTACTACTACCTCTCTCACTCATTTTTGATATTCCATTATAACCGGAAAAATGTCATTTCTTCTTCCCACTGTCTATTTATTAATGAAAAGTTTCCGTTTAAATAATATACAATGTTTTTCACAATTATTATTCATTCGATATATTTTTCTATATATGTTTTATGTATATGTAACATATTAATACACACACATACAGAGATTGCATAGCCGTACGTTTACGCATTTACGAACACAAGAGGGTTGTCATGAACTAATCAACAAGGGTTGATGATAAAAAAATCATATACATCATTATAAGCGTCTTTTTATTTTTACCTGAAATAAAATTATAAAGGATAATTAATAGTTTATAATGTCATTCCTGTTTTTTAACAATATCAAAGTAATTAATATTATTTTTCAAGAAATAAACTTACGCATCATTCAAGTATTACTCCTAAATTATCATAATTTATCATTAATGTAAAATAAAAACGAGATATTCTCGAGTATCATAGCATGTTGTAAGATTATTACGAAAATATAAGATGAATTTAAATATTAGTGTATAAGAACACCTTTTATAGTATTTTATATTCAAATAAAGTAGTACTATTTCATATAAAAAAAAAAAAAAATGTGAAAATTTACTCATTGATCAATTCAAATAGAACGTGTAATATTAATTGTAATAATTGTTGAAATCCATTATAATTTTACTTGTAACCCGTTTGCATTCGTTTTACGAGTTCGTCATGTATAAGTACAGCTGTGCCAGCTTCGGCGTTATTCGGCTACGATCGCGTGCAGGAGAATCGATTTTTCCTTCGGTTAGTGTACAGAGCGAAATCGGAGTTGCCATGCGGACGATAGGAAGCAGGTGGATCTGACCGACATACTGTGTGCTGTTCATCATTCAACAAAAAATGAATTACAATTTGAAACATCTAATTGTTTACCTATCCATTTTCGCGAAACACCACTTTAAATCGAATTAGTCTAAATAATAAACATTATATCTTTCATACAACACCGTACACATCCACCCGTAACCAAATACCGTTTGATATAATATTAACTGGAATATCTTAAAAGGAAACAAATGTTAAAATGTAACGAAAAGAAAAAAGAAAAAAGGATCGTAAAAATTGTAGACAACCTGACCGTTGTAATTCCTTTGCGATTATAGAGTTATGTGTAAGTAATGTATGAAAAAGATTTGTACACACGTTTCGTACGTTTCGTTGATCGTAAACTTCGGTACAATGAGTTGCTTGTTAGATGGTTGTGTGAAACCTTTTGCAATAGTCTACGACGAGTTGGTGTATACGTAAGATGTAACATATAAGTACATACATGTATATGCATTGCCTTCGTATCCCATAAAGACTTTCTACCGAGTTTCTTTTAATACCGGGCCTACGTATATTCGTATTTCGTAAAATAGAGAAAGAGAGAAGGGTAGAAAAGTCACGTGGTTCACTAGACATCTCGCCAAGAGATAAGGTATTCGAGGGTGCTCGAATGAAAAGGCATCCTAGAGGGCATTCTCATGACACTTGACCTACCTTTCTTTACTCTGAAGATTTATTAAGCGTGTTAAGTGTATACCGTCGAATACTTCCTCTATTTCAAAGAATACACAAATTTTCTACGAAGTAACCAACTTTTTCATCTAATTTCCCCTTCCCCTTACCCTCCTCCCCTCCCCACTTTATCTCTACCCTCCTTTAAGAAACTTTTCTTATTTACCTGTGATCGAGAATTGAATCGATTTTAATTTCATTCATATCAATGTTCTTTATTTCTCTGCACAATTTTATAACGGTGGTTACTCACGAAAACTCATTTTTCAAATTTATATTTCATGTTTCATAAATTTTCTTTGGATTAATTAACAATCGTTTATGGTATATCGAACACATTCAAGGTATGTCCAATCCCCTACTGAATATTCTATAAACAAACGCATCTCGCAATAACTATCGATCGAAGTATCTCATAAATATGCACACATGCATATCACACTTCGATAATTTTCATAATTTCCATAATGTCGATCGCGACTGTGGTTTCTATCTCTCTCTCTGTTTTTCATGTCATTTGATAAAATTGTAACGTTAGTAAGTTTCATTTGAAAAATAATATTTCGATTTAATCCGTCATTCATTGAACGTAGTTTCAGTTATACCAACAACGTATCGTTTCCTGTCCTCTCTCTTTCATAAATCTCCATGCTTTTCTTCTTCTTCTTGTTCTTTTTCTTCTTCATCTCGAGAGTATCTCGTCGTTATGCGATAAAATACCGAGCGAGGAAGAAACAGTAGAATTGCGAATTGCGATTAAAAACCGGATCCATTCTCGTTACCAGTTGGAAAGAAACGTGAGGAATCGAAAGAACGGAGTGATGCAGGTGGTGAGCCAGGTGGCTCAGGAGTATGTATGTAAGGAGAGGAACAGTGAATGAACGGAGAAACGAAAGGATGAAAGAAAATTCCCTTTGCTCGCATTGCTATCAAGCGGTTCCACTCTTGAAGCGGTCTAACGTAAAGGTAAAGACAAGACGAATGTGAGCACGCGAGTCGAATACCAATCGCGATTTCCTTTTGCCCCCTTTTCTTTTTAACTTTAATACCCACTCTCTTTCTGTGTGCGTCTCGGTAAACATTAAAAAAAAAAAAAAATGCAATCTCTGTTATTTCGAATACGTCTTCGAAGAGAGAGAGAGAGAGAGAGAGAGAGAGAAAGAACACCAAAGTTTCACCATTGATTAGAATTCATCGAAAGGTAGTTAATATTTTATTTGATTCATTTGTTACGTCCTAGGCTGCTTTTTTTTACTTGCTTTAATAGCGGGTGCATTTTTGATTCGGTGCAATTACGAATTGTGTTACGAGTGTATTACTTATTATTATTATTATATCTTATGTAACATTTATAAATACTTTTTGTTATATAATAAATCTTACATATGTAACTTTGAGTTTGTTACATTCCTTCTTTTAATTGTTATTACTTTACATTAAAAATGTAATTATTAGAAAAAAAAATTAAAAAAAAAAAAAGAAGACATGGTTCCGGCCGGGATCGAACTGGCGACCTTCTGCGTGTAAAGCAGACGTGATAACCGCTACACCACGGAACCTTGATATCAGGGGTTGTATAAATTTACTTTAAAACTCCAACTATTTATATAATTAATTATAATTTATATATATATATATTAATATTTAAACATTTAATATATATCTTATTAAATATATTCTAAAATAATCTTGTTTTTTTTTTAAATGACAATTATTGTAAAAATTCTTCCGAGAATATATAATTTGACATGTCGGTAAAGTAGATTATTCTATTTCGTTATACGTCGGATAGATGGTAGACATATCGTAGCGCGCACAATTTAAAAAGAAATATATAAATATAAAAATGATTTTACTGACGTAAGCGTTTAAAAATAATGATTAATAACTTTAATATAAACTTAAAAAATCTCATATTTTAATTATAGTTAATAACTATGGTATATAAACATTATTATAACTTCTTTTCTGATGTAAGGTCAAATCGATAAATACCCGTCAATATTATTAATAAAATTAAAAACAATTTTTTAACGATGAAGTAATAGTTATTTTTAACTATAACACAATACAAATAATTACAGATTTAGTATTATTTGTACTACGACAAACAATATACAATGAAATAATATATTTATCCGTGTATATGTTGCTGATAACATCAAGGACAATATACCGGGAAGAACTAACGAACACAGAAATTGCATTTTTAAGTTTAAGGTTCGTTAGATAAATTTATCTACAACGGAAAGTAATATACCTGTTGCAATGTAATCACCAACATTATCTCCTTATCATTTAATTATCTTTATTCTATTATTTTTCTTTTATAATATCTTACTAGTTATTGTTAAACGGTAATAAAAAAAAATAAACATCTGTTCATGCATACATTATCATTTTTATTTTTATTTTTAATAACAACGTGTGTAATCAACTAATAACTTGATCACATAAACAATTGCAATCTTCTAAGAGAACTAAACAAAAAACAGGAAGAAATTCAAGAATAAATCCTTCAAATAATAAAAAATAAAACAAAAGAAAATGGAAAATGGAAAAAAAAAAAGAAAAAAGTTTATGACATATCTTTGATATATTTTTTCAAAAAATATAATCGAGAAAATGATACTAACTGATAGTAGCAATGACGAATCCTCGTAGTTACTACTACGGGAGCAATCGTTAACGATAGTAGTTAATAAAAGGAATACTTTATTAACTTAACAAAATTAATAGAATATAAAGAAATTATTTAATATTTATTTAAACAAAAAAAAACAAAAACAAAAATTAAAAATGTTGAAAGAAGATAGAATTAAAATGTTACTACTTCCTAAACGATATCCCTGTTTGGATAAGTTCATCATAATTTTGTTCTACTCGAGCATTAATGCACTAGTGGTAAGTGACAATTAATTAAAAAAAAATAAATAAATAAAAATGTCTATTTTTTCATAAATAGAAAATGTACCTCCTTAATGCAATATTATTGATTTTTTTTTTTTTTTTTAGGTTCTAGGAATAATGATGTGTATACAATCTTTGGCAATAGCATTTCACGCATTAGTGGATTTAAATGTATTGATGTCTTATCTTCAAACAGATTACAATGTTTTATTTTGGAGTTCAGTATTAACGATAATATGTGGTTCTCTTGGATTACTTTCAGCATTTCAATATTCTAAATCAGGACTATTAACAGTAAGCAATTTATTTTGAATATACCAAATTACGATATTGATACGTCAACAGAATACAAAATTAAATGATTTTCTTCATTGTATTTCTCTTATTGTTTTTTTTTTTTTTTTTTTTTTTTTTCTAGAGTATAGGACTTATCATTATAACATTCTTTATAATTGATGGATACGCAATAAGTTTTAGAGTAAAAAATTATTTATCTGAAGCACAACTTGTCACAATTTTATACGATGCGATCGCAATAAATCCATATGAAAATTTCCAATTTCATTTCATGCAAAGACAGGTAAGTTATTTAATATTAATTCTAATAATTGAACTAATCGAAATTTCTATTATCAAATTTGATGGTATTTAAATTGATAAATATTTACAAAAATTTATTATAAATTTCTTTATTAACTATTGATGATTATTTATCAGTTTTAGATAAATATTCTCTGTCGGTAATTTTTCCTTCATTGATAACTACTGAATTATATTACAAATTTAATTTAAAATATAAATTAACGTTCTATCAACATTTCTATTTTAATAGATATAAAAATAAATTTAAATAATAATAATAATAATAATAATAAATTATTTTATCTTTTAAATTGAAATATTGAAAAAAAATAGCTTATGTAGAATCAATTTTGTCACGAGGGTATCCACATCCTCGGTAGTATAGTGGTTAGTATCTCCGCCTGTCACGCGGAAGACCGGGGTTCGATTCCCCGCCGGGGAGAAGTTTTTTTTTTTTTTCTTTCATTCAATAAGAATAAATAAATTTGTTTACTTTTTAATTTGATATTTACTCTAGCATAATTATTAATAACAATCAAGATTTCTTTTTATTCATTTACAGCTCTCTTGTTGCGGAGTTATGCATTATAGCGATTGGACAACCTACCATGATGCTATACCAGGATCTTGCTGTAACAATATGACTATTTGTGATGATGATGATCCAACTTTATATAAAAACAATTGTTCTGAAGTAATCTACGAAATATTAAGTAATATTTATCAAGCTACAGTTGATACTATTATAATTTTAAATGTTTGTTTTGTAAGTATGCATATATACATATATATACATTCATAAAATATAAACATTTTTTTTATACATCATAATGAAATTTTAATGAATAATAAATAATGTGTTAAAGGTATTCTCATTATTTTCTGGATACTTCTATTGGTACCTGTTACGACAATTGAAAAAAACGAAAAAAATATCATTTCATCCGTTACCAAGAATAAATATGCCAACGATCTCGTCAAACCAACTAAATCAACATGGTTATATGATAAACACCAATACAATTCTGTCAGGAAATAATGCACTTCAAAATTATAATTATGAATATTACAATGCCTATGCAACTAATGCAAATAATAACCTAGCCGAACAAACGCGACATGTTCAAATATCGGAGAACCTTACAATCAATGAGAACAACGATACAGTTCAAGAAAAAGCTAGTACAACTGAAGAAGAAGTCAATACACCCCAAGAAGAAGTAGCCAATACACCCCAAGAAGAAGTAGCCAATACACCCCAAGAAGAAGTAGCCAATACACCCCAAGAAGAAGTAACCAATACACCCCAAGAATCAATCTATACACCCCCCGAAGAAATCAATAAACCCCAAGAAGAAGAAGTAGCCAATACACCCCAAGAAGAACATAATACGATCGTAACCAAAAATGTTGCTTTCTACGATATTACCAAGCCAAAAGCCCCATCAATTGATGGTGTCTTCTTTACCTTACCAACACCGATTCCTAAAACTTAAAATATAATTTTAATGAACAATTGATCAATTTAAGTATTACTCATTATATTGAAAATAATCAGCAGAAAAATGACCTATCGTTAATATGCATAAATATTTTATTAATTACATTCTAAGATCAATATGTAATCGTTAATTGTTATTACACGAATATTATTTTTATATTAATAAATAATAATAATAATAAATGTGCAATTATTTGTAAATATATTTATATGTACTATCGTTCTTACGTACACATTATATAAGTGCATTTATTAACAAGAAGATTAAGATTTATTTATTATAATAAGTGCACATGTATATGTACTTTCTCACACACGTTACAAAGATATACAAGATAATTTAATTAATTGTTTACTATTAAAATTGTAAAAAATAATGATATATACGTATATATATATATATATATAGTATATATTATTTGTATTATAAATTATTTCGAATATGAGGAAGCAATGACTTAACACTTTCAATTTCTTACGTTAAAATTACGAAGACCAGCTTATTGTAATTAAAATGTAAATTATCTAAATTCAATAAAAAAAATAATCTAACTGAAAATATTCGTAAGAAATGTTAAACAATCTCGTTTCATTTATCGGTCTCTCTTTTTATTGCCATAGCTAGACAACAAGCAAGTATTATACCAGCTACCTGAAACATACAAAACAAAATTCATAAATGTTAAAAATAATAATAAATATTACTCTGATCGTAGAACCAACCTCGACAAATGCAATACCAATTCCTACACCGATCAATATAGTAGCACCTTTTTGAACACGCATTTTTAATTTTTCAAAACAACCATCTTTATTAACATCAGGACTACCAATAGCACAAGGATTTTGCATTTTCATGCAACAAGAAGGTGGTAATGTTCCAATGTAAGCATTGGTCGAACTCCAATCGTTAGGCCCATCTACTCCGCAGCACATTAACTATAATTACATTATTTTGATATTATATATACATTATTTTACAAATAATTACACAAAATTAAATTGAAAAAAATATCGTTTCGTATATCGTGAAAAATAATGAAACCAATCGATTTCTTTCATAGCACTTAAACATCGACAAAGCAATCATTTGTTCTTGGTGTTACAGATTCGAATCTACTGACCTTGTTTTGCACATTATCCCAAGCAAACTTGTCTTCGTCGGTATAATTCTTCATCGATTCTTTCAACGTATCCTTCATAGCCATACTGAAATCATTTTTAAATACTGCCGCTGCTATACCAACTGCTAGTTCGATCACGAAAATGATCAATAGCGCAGCTGCGAACTGGGAATTGAAGATACAATCACAAACTTAATCCATTATCGATTAATAATAAAAAGAAAGAAAAACAAAACAATATTTCAATGAAATAACGTATGTGACGCGTATCATCATCATTATTATATATTACTATTATTATTATTAAAATAAACAAATTCTTACCGCTATCAGCATATTATAATGTTCTTTGATGGCACCGTAACATCCAAGAAAAGCTATAATAAAAACAATGCAACCAGCAATTATGAGAACAATTGGTGGTGCCATTATCCTTCCTTCGACAAAATGACTAAATTCACCGACATCACCAAGAACTAATGCTCCAGCTACGATTATTCCAATACCAGAGATCTAAAACAGTTATTTAAAAAAGAAAAAAAAATAATAATAATAATAATGAAACAAAATGAAATGAAATAAAAGTGTAAAAATGTGTGTGTTTGTATTAAATGTGTTTAACAAACTTACAGCGAAGATTAAATTAAAGACAAAAAGGATGTATTTGATCAAGCTCATTCCACAGGACTCCATGATGTGATTAATTATATTTTATTAATAATAATAATAATAATAATAATTAATTGATATTATTATAAATGTAAAAATAAAAACTAAAAAACAATCGAGCAGGAAGGTAAGTATTAGAATGTAAATTTGAACGAATTTTACGAAAGACACTTCATAATCGCGCGTACAGTGTGAACCAACCGTATCACAGTAAAGCAATTTATATTCTGAAAGGGGTAAAAAGCCTTTTCAACGAGAATTCGATCGAAATCCTCGAGAAACTTCGAAAGGAAGTAGCGCGCCACTCCAACGACCATCCTCATTGGTCCTTTTCCATGGTGCTCGAGGACCTACTGGAGAACGCATTGAAACGGGACCGACGTCTTATTGGTCATCGTTCATACCTCCACTAATTCAATGTTTTTTTTTCTCGTTACCATAGATACTACCACTATGACAACAACTACTAACTACGATAATATAATTATTTGGTAAAAATTGTAGAAGAAATGAGTTCGTTGCTCGCAAATGTCAACTTTACAAGGTCATCGATACTAACGTCTAAATATTTTTTATATTTATCATACATTTTTTGTTTGTTTTAATGTTTATGATTTATTTCTATTTATATAAAATATGATTATTAGAAATATTCATGAAGTTTCTTTTAGTTTGTTCATCTTTCATTTGTTGCACGAATAAAATCATATTATGAAATAATATAAATAATATAATGTATATTATATTATATTTATATTGTGTGTTTATAATGTATACTATATATATATATATATATTAATATATATTAATATATAATATATAATGTATATTATATTATTTATATTATATTTATTTATTAATTTTAAATATATTATTTTATATATATTATATTATTATATTATTTATATATTATTTTTATTTATATATATTATATTTTATATATATTATATTTATATTTATTATTTAAATTAATATTTATATAAAATATAAATAGTATAATGTAAAATCTATTTTTATACCATTATTTACTATTATTTAAAAATTGAATATATTAGATATAGAAATTAATTCGTTGTTATAAATAAATACTAAATTTAATTTTTTTGTTTTTATTTAAAGTTTCAAAATTAATATGAAGTATCTTATCCATAACTTTGTCCGATTTAATAGACAAAGTTCAACGACCTATACACTCCCAACTTACAACGTATTATTATCGTATTATCTTACTGTCGTCAACGTTATTATCTTGATAACTTTTTGATAAAGAAAGAACCCCCTTTTTTTTGTTTACTTTGAAAATAAAAAATGTACGAGCTAACAGTTTGAACAATTTGTGCAATGTTTGCTTGTTTGTCAAAAAAAATTGAATTTCCTTAATAATTTGATTAACATTCAATTTGATAATTCTTTTATTAATTTTATTATTATTATTATTATTATTATTTCTTACTATTATTATTCTTGTCCTGTTTTTCTGTCCTCGTTTGCTAACGTCGATCGCGTGACACTTCCTCGAAACACACAGTTTAGTTCGATCGTTACTTTTCTAGTACGACGAACTTTTGAAAGCTTTTCAAATCATTCTTTCTCTTTTTATTCTAAGTAATCTTTCATCTTAAATGATTAACAGATATGAATAGAAAAATTCTTTGTATAAATCTAAAGAAAAAAGAAAAAAAAAAAAAGAAATGAAAAATCTTCATTTGAAACTTGGCAAACAAAAATATTTGATTAGATTTTTTCGATCTTTTGTTGTTGTATTGAATTTTATTTTTTCTATCAAAAAAAGAAAAAAGAAAAAAAACAGTAATTTGATAATATTAAAAATAAATAATCAAATATTATGATAATCAGATATTTTTTTTTTTAATGCAATAAGAATTGATAGAAAGAAAATTTGTTGATAAAAAAGTAGAAAATACAACATTAAAAAAACGTTTCGTGTCATTTTCTTCGAAGAATAAAATGAATGTGCATTTGGGTTAATGGAACTACTACTACTACTACTACTACTACTAGTACTACTACTACTACTACTATAAATGTTATAAATATAATCAATCGATTCTTATACATGTCCTTTGTAAATATGTATTACATATATGACACGATATGTAACACACATATAATTCAAATAAAAATATTAAACGTATTACAGAATGAATGTATATATTATGACCAAAAAGAAGTATTAAACTAATAACATTATATAGAATTATATTTACTTAAACAGTATATTTACAGTTACTCGAATAAATACATAGTATAAGTATGTATAATACACGAGAGAAAAAAAAAATGGGTTAATCATATTTGTTCTTTTTGTCATAATTCATTTTGTCATATTGTAGACTTCAACGAACAGTTGTTGTAAAATTGTTAATTAATTTTGTAATGTTACAAAGTGTTAACACTAACATTAGAAACAAGTGATATAAATTAAACTCATTGAATCAGAATTTAATTGAAAACAATTGTTGTTATTTAATTTTAATTAAAATTATTGTTGGTATACATAATTAACAACTTAATTTAATTTATTTTAATTATATAATATATATTATATATTATTATATATTATTATATTAATTTTGTATTATTAATAATAATAAAAATAATATATAATATATAATATTATAAATATAATATTATTAAATAATAATA